CGGTAAAGCTGCGGAGGTTTCAAAATTAGATGACAAGTTTAGCGTGGCACAAGTGAATGCATTTATTAGGCTATTAGCGCGTTTGGTTTAAGAAAAAGGTAGCGGCTTTGGTTTGCGAAAAAAAATCTGAACCAGAATTACGTAATCGGAAAGAATGCGCAGCATAAAAACACATCGACGCGTTCAGAAACTGTAATTTGATCTGAACGTTTATGAAAACCATAAGCGTACCAAAAGCTGCAAAAAATGAAAATTGGAAGACCTTTCAGACATGAGTGAGAACAGCGATTCATCGGGAAAAACAGGGCAGGACGCCAAGGAATTACCCACTAAAAATGTCCATGGCACAAAGTAAATTGATCTCATTGATCTGGTTGGACTGGCCGTAGAGTTTGATGGAGAATTCAGCTGTTTTCTAAAAAATTTTGAGGTCTTTAACAACCGTGGCCGTTTTTTTGACATTTTGTTCGTTTTTTTTTCTGCTTTTAACAGGACTTTGTTTATTGGAGGATGGAATGATTCTCACGCCCCAACTATTTGCACCAACTTTGATAGGTTTATTTCAAGGGCATGCATATAAGGTTAAAATGCAAGATTCAACCAGTAGTTACTTTTGGTGGCCGGACATGATCCGGCAATTTCAGATTATTGCTACAAACTGTGAAGAACGCATCAAAACGAAAAAACAATGCGTTTTTGCCGAGTACAGACGTAACCAATTTAGAACCACCGGAAGAGTAAATCAAGAAATATATTTGGATTCTCTTGGGCCGTTACCGTACCCTGGGGTTCATCTAAATATCTCCTAAATTCTGTTGATTGATTTCCAAAGTAGCCAATTGTTCAAAATAGAACTCGCATAACAGCAGCGGCAATAAAGGAATTTTTAAAAAACAATATAACCCTACACGCAATATCAAATGTAATTACAGAAGAAAACTAAAGTAATTAGAAAATTAAACACTCTTTAGGGTTGGGTGGGTAACCTACGACGCATCTGTCAAAAATTGTCATGGCAGAATGTATTGTTTTCATTACATAAGAACAACCAAATGTTTCGCTTGAGGGTTATGCAGGGCTACTCGATGCCGGACGACGAATCGAAAATGGGCATAATCGATAGCTTTAAGCTTCTCTTAGCTCCAGAGACTATGGCCCAAGGCACTGCTGCGAGTACTAACGTTGAACCGACTCGGCAGAGAGCGCCAGTGTTAAACTCTAAGAAACTAGTCACCAAATTGTTCTAAGAAATTAGAATAGACTAAAATTGGAACCTCATTTTGAAGTGCTTAAAGAGAAAGTGTTTCGAGAAACTGATCATATAGATAAGTTGTTATCGCAAAAAGTTGTACATAAACCTGGCCTCTCAGAAACTTTAGGATCTAAATCACGATTATCTGCAGTTGCTGAAACCGCAAGTCCTAGACAAGGAATAGTGGGCGGCAAGAAATGTGATAGCTCCAATGCGGATACCAGAAAGAAAACGGTGTTAATGACTACGGTTTAATTGCCACAAACAGAGGACCCTTAAAATTTCACATTGACAAATCGTCGGTTAGGATGGACTCAAAGCCACGAGAGCCTTCTTGTTGTCAGGTTGATTGCAGAAAAACCCATAATAGCACAAAAATCTAGTGATGCTGCCATCTGCGGATGAAGCCGAAGAAGATGATGCTGATCAAACAACCTGTCGTTGTTCTAATGAGATGGACATCCAAGAAGTCGAGGATAGAGTACTTAAAGTATATAATGTGTCGGCAGGTGCTGAACGAGCTGAGGAAATCAAGGAAGGGGTACTGAACATAACACTGAACGCAGGCGAGAATAGTCAGCAAGGAGTATCGTCGGAGAAAAAACGCCCAAGCCTTAACAATTCCGTCATAAAACGCGAACTTTACTGGGTAGACAGCCACTGTAATTTTTGAGGGAAACGTTATTCACCAGTGTTATCTCAATGGGGACAGGCCAGTCAACGTTGTCACCCGAGGAGACAACTCAGACGATGACGAGAACATGTTGCAGAAAGCGGCATCGATTTCGTCAATACGAACGGCTAGTAGACCGAGAGGGAGAATCATCATGGGAGATAAACCGATGAGTAAGAAAGTGACAATTAGCCTAGTGAAAAAAATACTGAGCCAGTAAAAATTTAGTGCGGAGGACATTTATTTCGACAGGTTTTTTGTGCAGCTTTTTTAGCAATATTTATATACAATACGGCATACAAAGCCTTGATGTAGACGTGTTGGGAGGTTTTGTGGGCATTCTTGACAAATTGGTTGATATAGCGCAGGTAGAAACTCAGACAACGCGGGAAACAATTGATAAGGCGAGAAGAGATCTGTTGGACAGGATCGGAGTGATGTCGGTAGTATCTGTTCCAGTGACTCGTCGGATTCAAGTCAACACTTTGGACATCTAGGTTGCTATTTCTCATGCTTTCAACCAAAGTAGGCCTTCGACTGGAAAAGAACAAAGTGGATGGCCAGTAA